GGACAGCAGAGGAGAGCTCCTGGAAGCAAACTGGCAGCTCTCCATAGCACATTTTGTATTTTCTGGGCAGCATTTCATGACCTCCCATTCCTGCAGGTGAGCAAATGTGCAAGGTGAGCTCCTCCTTGCCCTCAGGCACCACCAAGGTTTGATTTCATGTTTCCAGTTTCACCACTGGTGACTGCCCTCGTGCTTATCAACACTTGTTTCTGAGGTGAAGATGGGAAAACACTGTCATGCAAAACCCCCAAGTGAGCTCCGGACCTGTTTGAATGCTAATGACCTCTTAGCGCTGTATCCCACTCATTCTACTGCCTATCAAGCTGGCACGATGGGAAGATAATAGCCCTTGTGGACCACAGGCAGCATTCCGCACACACGAGCTCATAGAAATAGGGAAGAAACATTAGTGGGGAAGTCAGAGCAGGAAAATGAAGACGTGAGTAATCACCTTTGGTCCAGGATGCCAGCAGCCCACAGCAGAGTATCCTGTGTGCAGCACCTCCCCTCCACCGCAGGCACAGGATGCTCTGTTCCCGTCCCACGGGCTGCTCTCCCACAGCAGCCCTTGCACTGCAGAGGCTCCAGGGACGCCGCAGGGCTGGCAGAGCCCTTTCCAGAGGGTCAGGGGCTCAGGTGCAGTTAGACATTGAATTCCCACTTATGCAAGGCAGTTCCACTGCCATTAATGGGCATGAGATGCCATTAATATAAATATATCTGATGTGGAAAATAAAGACCTGTGTAAGGATTTGGACCTTTATGACTTCTCGTTTCATTGCCCTCCATTCAGTGTGACACTGGGGCTCTCATGGACTTGAAGTCATTGATCAATGAAAAATACCCTCTTCCCTTCCCCTATCAGTTTCTGTCTCATTTTCTGAACCTGTCACAACCTCTCTCAGCACAGAGATGTCCAGGGAATTGATTCTGTGTTGTCTTCCTTTCACCCTGATGTTTTGATCCCTTTGACCAGGGACAAAGCCGTAGGACAGAGATTGCCAACATTAACATACATTGCTTATTCCATAAAAACTTACTCAAGGCCCCCTGTATTCCCTATATAAATTTAAATGTTCTTAAGTTATTACAGCGACCTTAGACGGTCACTGTGGTGAGAGAAGGACAAGAATCTTGTTTCTTGATCAGAAGGCTTGATTTATTGATATATGATATACAATACATTATAACTATACTAAAAAGAAAAAGAAGAGAAGTTGCAGAGAGCTGCTTAGCTAAGAATAGAATAGAAGGAATGAATAACAAAGTTCTGTGTCCAGGGAATCTGTCCCTGAGCTGCTCCTGTGATTGGCCTTTAATGGTACACATGGAAGATGAGCCAATCACAGGGGCACCTGCTACATTTCACAGCAGCTGATAACAATTGTTTACATTCTTCTTCTGGGGCTCTGCTTCCCAGAAGGTGGACAAATGTGAAAGAAAGGATGTCTATGAAAAAATGTCTGCGACATTAAGTCTGTGTCATTGCTAGTGTTATTCAAAATTTTCTTTAAATCCTTTTCTGTTTTAAGGTTTCCAGTCAGAGTTATGTCTTTGATGTACTTAGGTTTCTCTGTCAGTTTTCTGCATTTTATAATTAGGATCCCTTTTTTGTTTTCTCCCCGGCTGACATATTTTAATTTTGAATTTCAAATTGCTGCCTGAGCTCTGCCACTAAGCCAGCACAGGCTGCTGCTTCCTAAGACTTAGACAATGACACCAAGGTGAAACTTCACAAAGTTCTGCCAAAGCTGCTGACTCTGTATTCCTGCATCTCATGGGTTCTCTCTGCTTCATCCCTTATTAATTGGGATCAAGCATTCATACCTCAGGAGTGACCTGAGTGACTTCCAGGCTAGTTTCAGACCTGAGCATCTGTGCAGATGTTGAGGGGAGGTGAGCCCTGTATTGCCAACTACAAACTGACAAGGTGAGACAAAATGATTGTTCCTGGTAAGAATTGCGGTCCTGCAATCATACTATTCCTGTTGACTTGCCTGTACACCTCTTATCACTAGCTGGAAGCTGCAAGAGCTCTGGGGCACAGGCACAGGGCCAGCACTACAGGGCCTTGGCCTGGACTTGGCATTCCCAAGTGCTTACAGCAACTTGGAAACAGTAAGAATAAATAGTAAAATAATGCTTGCAAAACTTAAAAAATAAAACACAACCCACACACACAAAAAGAGAGATAACACTCATGTCCATGGTAGGTGTAAGGAAATGGTAAGCAAATCTACAAATCCACATACTCTTAGAAAGGAAGTGATGGGGATGGCGGACTTTAGGAACACTGTACAACGAATTTAAGAACCAAATGAAGGATTTAAGCTGTGGATGCAGGACTTAAGCTGTGGATGCAGAAGCTACAGTGATGAAGACAAGAGGTCCCAGCTGATGTGGGAGTGAGAAGGGACACAGTGGCACAGTGCAAACAGGAGGCTGAGGTGACTGAGCTGAGCCAGGCTGGCCTTGTCCACACAGGGAACAAACATCCTACAAGGAAGAGGACAGCCACCCACGAACCTCAGTTTTCAACCGTGCTCAAAGTAATAGGGTGGTCAACACAAATGTGAACTTCTCATACACAAAAGACAGCTGCATTAAATGAAACGTAACGAAATTAAATTAAAGGAGATCTCAAGATTTCATTTCCTTTCATGAGATGAAAAGTAAAGGAATGAATTGAAACTTAAGCAAATGAATTTAAATGAAATGAAGTACAATGAAATGAAAATGAACATAACAAAAAGAATTTAGATGAAATCTCAAGATTTCATTTCCTTTCATGAACTGAAAATGAAAAATGAAATGAAATCAAACATCAAAGATGAAATTCAATGAAACATCAAAAAATGAGGTGAACTGAAATGAAACTTGATGGGATAAAAGGAAAAGAAATTAAATGACAAAATGGAAGGAAATGTAACAAAATTAAATTTGTCATTTTATTTCCTTTTAGAAAATGAAATCTCAAGATTTTATTTAATTTCATTTTGTTACATTTCCTTTTTAAATTTTTTAATTTCATTTTTTTGCCCTTTCATTTATTTTCATGATATACATTAAATTTAATTTCATTCCTTGATTTGAAATTTCCTTTATTTTTCTTTTTCATATTTTAAAATTCTATTTAATTTCCTTTTATTAAAGTTTCATTTTATTTCATTCCTTGCTTTGTCATTTCACAAAAGAAAATTAAATCTTGAGATTTCATTTAATTGCATTTCCCTAATTTTAATTTTCTTTCAATCAATCTGATTTCATTTCCTTCCTTTAAGTTACATTTCATTTGTCTTCATTGCTTGATATCCTTTTCATTCCTTGAATGACGATTCATCTCATAAAAGGAAATGTCTAGATTCTTACATTTCACTTCATTTCATTCCTTGAAGTTTTATTTAACTTGATTCCTTAATTTTTTATTTAATTTCGTTTAATTTCATTCCGTGACGTTGCATTTATTTTGATTTCATTTCACTGCTTGATTTTTCATTTCATTTCTCGGAAATGCAAACCGCCCATTTTTGTGTCTTGGAGTCCTAAATTCCAGGTGCTCATGTCTGGGGTTCCAGCGTTTGTGTAACGTGTTGTGCACATGGTAAATGAGAATTTGCAGCGATTATCGTGGTCAGCTGACGCTGAGGATTTAAACTGGTGAGCCCTGGCTGCTCTGCAGCCTGATAAACGTGACCGAGAGCTCTGCGCCCCAGCCAGAGAGAGAAGCAGCAGCAATAGCGAGGGGCTCTGATAATTCAGCGATTTCACAGGGCAGCGAGGTGCCTCCCGCTTTTATTCCTCTACTCCTGAAAACTCTTGAGTATGATCCATTCTCCTCGGAGTTAATGTTGAGCATAGCTTGAGTGACTGAGAGTTTGACTACGGTCAAATTATTTTGTTTAAAAAAAACCCCCAAACCAACCCAAAATCCCTACAGCTGCTGAAGCGGAGCTTCTGTAAGCTTCCATGGAGGAGAGGCGCAGCCTGCAGCAGGTCTGAGCTCTCTCCCCCTTTCCTGCCTGCACTCCGATCCCCCAGACGACCTTTAAAGAAAGGATCCCCATATCATGTGAAAGCTGTCAGGCCAGCTCGCTGCCAGGGAAGCTTTCCTTGCGCTGAGTCCGCAGCCGAGGACGAGGTGATCTAAGAGCTCCTGCTGCCAGGACGGGGAGGCCGCGCCTTCCCCTTTCCCTCCTGGCTGCGCATTCCCACTGCTCGCCCTGCGTTGGCTCCGGGCCTCCTTGTGCAGCCTTCGGTGAGCTGACTCAGCTCCCGATCCCGGCACATCCCAGCGGATGGATGCCTTTGTGCAGGGCGGCAGCGAGCTGCAGCGCTGACTCACCCGCTCTGATGAAATCACGGCCATTGTTATTAGCAGCCCACCTCGGTCCGATAAAGCGCGAGCAGCTGCCCTCGCCATGGCGAGCGCAGATCGCAGCTACAGAGCCGAGTCTCTGCTCATGCACAACGAGCCACACGCCCACTCCGCTCCCATCAAAGCGACTCTCCAAGGGGCAGAGCAAAGGGCAGTTTCCCAAACCCTTAGTCCTGGTAGTAAACTTGCAGTTGATTTTTTTTCTCCATAAATTTTGATGAGAAAAACAAAAAACAAACCAAACAAAAAACCCCAACAACAACCAAATTAAAAAAAATCCCACTTTGGTGCAGTCTACTTCTAATTCGGCATTTCACAACCAAACCTTTGGTATGCTGCAAAAAACATCATCATCCCCCCAACACCAACAAAAACAACACCAGCAACAAAACTCTGGCAGAAAACATTCAGTCACAAGAAGGAGCACCAGGCACTGATTCCTACTGTATGTTATTACCTGTTGGCACTGCAGTAGTACTCATCTTGGAATCTGACCAGGAAAAGGGACTGGTTAGTAGCACAAGGAAATTATGACACATTCGGTACAGCACAGTCATAGAAGATACCTCCTCTCTTGATTTAGAGGTCATTTGCAATGTATCTCATATTTTTCCTGGGTTTTCCTTTTTATTTTCCTTTTCAGAACCACAGAATTCATAGATGTGCATGAATCACAGCACTGAAAGGTTTCAGAAGCACCACTTAAACACTCAAACTTCAGTCATTGTATCAGGACACTGTCATCATTTTATAGCTTTAAGTGAACAGTAGTAGATGCACATCCTAAACTGCTTTTTCTTCCCCATTTTTACTCGTTTTTGTTTGTGACACTCTCCATGGCTGTATCTTTCACAAATCCTGGCGGAAATGAGCCTACTTCGATGAGCGGGGAGAAGCCGCAAGAGACCTAGGGATCTTTTAATTTGTTTGTTTCTTCTTCCTCCCTTTGTTGCTTGGCTAATTTTATTTCTGCACGTCTACAAGGATTCCTGCACGCCTGCCATTTGTGAAATTTTGCATTTTCATGTTGGCAGGCTGGACATGGGCCAAGCACCTCTCACTTGCACAATGGCAGCAGACAATGTGCTTTGAATTTTCTCTGCACGCAAAGGTCAGTGACCCTTCCTCATCCACTTGCCTGTTTCCCTGCTACCCTGGAGCTCACAGATAAGTCATTGGCTGTTTTCTGCTGGCAGTTCTGCTTATGTAAGAAACTTCTTTTGCATTTGATGCGAATTAAGGCTCATGAATTCTGTCACATGAAAGTTGCCTCTAAAAAATTGGAGAAATTGGCAATGCTCTGCCCTCTTCTTCAGGGCTGTTAAAGGCTTTATCATTCACTCAGTTCATGGTTCCCCGCTGAAATGCAAAGTTTTCAGCAGCAAGGACAGGCTGGGTGTCAGAAGCTCTTTAGCTCATGCCTGTGTTTTAGCCAGTAAATGTAACTGCCTGGATCACCTAGGGAACACTAATGGTTTTGACTGACCTCCATGGGGTATCATCTAAAAGCACCTGAGCCAATTGCTTTGAACAAATATTTGAAATGAGATGTCTGCAGAGCACTTTCTCTCAGCACAGAGGCACAAGCTGGGCCCTGGGCCCAAGAGGGGCAGCAAGGTGATGTGCTGCAGCTGCAAGGAGGTGCGCAGAGACTGCTGGGGCTGCGCTGGGCAGGGATGGGCAGCACTGCCAAACACTTCTCACACCAGCGTGGTGTAACCCAGGCTCCAGGGCAAAGAGCTGCACAACAAGAGTCTGAGCACAGCCCTAGTCCAGATGGCCACAGTTCTGTCCCACCAGACATCCTTGCTGTCTCTATGATGTGACATTGACATTACTAAAGACTTGCTGCTCCCAGCTGGGGTAGAGGTCACCCTTCCCCTCACTGCTGGACTACACCTGCTGTGCCATTGCCCCTGCAGAGCAAAATGTCCCAGCTGATGGCACATTGCTGTTTGAGGCTGCTCAAGCCATGCAGTCCTGGCTGCTGGATCTTTTGCTTGTGACATCCTTGGTTACTCTCCACATGGGCTGAAGGCAAAAGGGCCTTTCTAGAGCCTGCAGCATTGGGATCCTGTTGGGGAGGAAGGATGAGAGGTGCTGCTAAATAGGAAAAAATCAGTAACAGGTGGCTGTTGTGAAAAGCTTCAAATTTCCTGCACAGCCCACGGAAACCTCCATTTAAAAAACAACAACCACCACCCATGAACTTGTTTTCGTGGCACAAGAGGCTGGCACAGCAGCCTGAACAGGTGCTGACTTGGTGGATCATCTCCCTGGTGCTCCTACCTGTGAGTAGTCCAATGGGAACCAGCCCTGATCCTGTGGTTTCTCCAGGGAGCACAGCTGCTACAGCAAACATGTACACCAAGGCAGAGAGACCTCTCTTTTGTGGCACAGAAAACTGCCTGCACATCTTTCACACCAAAAGAAATTTCCATTTACTCTTTTTAGCTCAGCCTTATTAATCACAGAGACATTTCCAAGCAAAATATGGATTTGCAGCAGAACATAGGCAAAAAGTTAATTCAGACAGGAGAAGACACAGCTCAGCTGTGCTCATCAAACTTATTTTACCATGTACAAGTCCAGCCTCCTCTGTTTCATTTGCTATGTTTGCCTTCCCACATACTTTTCCTACTTTTATCTCAGTTTACATTCTCTTCTCTCATGAACTGTCTTTCTTGCTTAAGAAAAATAACAAAGAAAATACTCTTCTGGTTTTCCTTTTTATCCCTTCCCATTTTGGTTTCACAGTGGACTCTCTTGGGACATGTTCCAGACAAAGGTTTGGTTCTTTCCAAAACACTGGCAAATGTCAGGTAAGGTCAGTGCAGCACTGTCACCTTAAGGCTCCAGTCCCAGGTTGCTAATATGTGCCTCTTGCATGGGCAATAGACTCTGAGGTGTGAATGAATCACCACGGAATTAATAAGGATTGTGCTACAATTAAAACCTGTTGGAAGAAAGTGCAGGAAGGTTGGCAGGGTATGTGGTTAGAGGAGAGGAGTGTCTCTCCTTATGAAGTGGCCTGATCTGTGAGAGAGAGAATTTCATGGGCACAAAATGGCATGGGACATAGAAAACGTCTCCATCCCACAGCCCCTTCTATCCTCCCAAAATTCCCCACTTTGCCCTTGTATCTGGAGTCTCCACTGACTTGGGAACAGCCACAATCCTTAGCACTGCTCTTCTGCTGGGAGAAAAATGACTTTTACTGTGGGAGGGTACAAAAATGCAGGCTGAGCCTCCCAGCCCCTGCCACGTGCAGTACCTGCAGGCAGCACTGCAAGGCCAAAAGCAGAGACAAGAGGGGCTGGGCAAGGCAGCCCTGAGCTCGGCCCCTGCACAGGGCAGCAGAGCAAGGCACTGGTGGAGCTATCACAGATGTTGTGAGGCTGTCACCTCCTGGTAATTTTGCTGTCATTAGGTGCTGCTCATAATGAGAAATCCTGATTTTACTGTGGTTCTGCTATGCTGTCCATAATTAGTGTGCAGTCCTTTAATACTAATTACCTTAGGTATTAGTTCCTTAAACATCAGTTCAAAAAAATCACATGAAAATTTACCTCTTCCTCAAATGAGTCATGAGTTAACACAGGGGTACTTGCAATGCACTACTTAGACTTGCTTAATTAGTTAATCTTTGCAAAGGGGTTTCAAATGCATGAAGAGCTATCAAACTGCTAAGTGCGTTATCTTCAATTAATTTTGTGCAACTACATCTTCACTACCAAGAGGGTCTTTAGAGTGCTGAGGAAAGGAAAAAGAGACATTGCTTCTAATTTTAAAAGTAACTAATACAGAAAAAAGGGAATTAATTGAAAGATGATTTGACATGATGGGAATAATTGTGAATACACCATTTCTTTTGTTTCAGCCAGAGCTGAATATGAAAGATTCATCATTTTTATCCCTCTTTTGCCTTTGTTAGTCTCTGGTTTCTTGGTTCCATCTCCTCTTGGTCTTAATGCTCTCCCTCTCTCTCACTGAGTATTAACTCCCTCTCTTCCAAATTTATTACTACCTTACTTCCAAATTTATTACCACCTGGAGTCACTGAGCTTACACCCTCAAACAAATGGTAAGGGATCTTGATCCAAAAGAAGCCTCATGGACTTCCCTTCAGCAGAAGACACTAAAGGGCCAGAGCAGAGCTCCTGCAAGAGAACAGGGCCACATCCAGCCCTGGCAGTCGTATTCCCTGGACCACTGTGGTAGCCAGGAAGTTCTTACTGAGTCATTCAAAGTTTTCTATTCTCTATAGAGCTTATATGCCTTGTTAAATATTCTCATTTTACTTCACCCATTAACAATCAGCTTTTGGTGGAGTTCTCTCAAAATGGCTTCTTTGTGCTAACACTCTGTCTAGCTGGCAGCTTTATTCAGGCCAGCTACATTGAATTGGCCCTCCCCAAGAACCTATTTCCTGGGTTCTTTTTCTTCCACTGAGACTAACAAAAGATAAGAACTTTTTGTTTTTGTTGCTGAGTCTGATTTGTGTTTAGAGGTTTTCACTTGCCTATGCCTTCTTTTTCAATAATGATTAATCATCACTTCTCCTTGCTGACTGCTGAGGTCCCACATGTGGTGAAAAATTCAGGCATCTTGTTTCATATCAACATGCCTGAGCAGTGGTTATGCAGTAGAGTCCCCATCACAGGGTTTGTGAAGGGGACAGGTAATGTGCATTTGCAATAAATTTGTATCACATCTGGGCATTCACTCAGCAGTTATTTGAAAACCTATTAATTTACCTTATTTTATAAAAAAAAATGGAATAGAGAAGACTATTATATGGCTATAGCTTTATTCTTTGCATACTGTAAACAGCTTAACCTGTTGGATGAGACATTTCTCTGGTAAGCCAGAGTTGTGTACATGGTGATCCTCAGCACAGCAAGTTCTCAGGGAAAGAACTTCTGCCACCAAAGCAGAGAAAACTCTCCAATCCCTCCCCAGTACAGTTTTACAAAAGGAACCAGTGAGGGATATTCACTGTTATCCAATCCAGTGGATACTAATTTAGCTGAAGGGTCTGATCTGCTCTAATCAGGCTATCTAGCTGAAGTGCAGGTACCTAAGACAGCAGCTGGGAAATGGGTAAGTTGTTAGGGGGTACAGAAAGAAGAGCAGGCCTATGAGAAGAAGCAAAGAAAGCTTCTTGCCCTCCCATACCTTCACCACTTGCATGTTTGTACAAAAGCTTACAGGGTTCCTCCCCTTCATCTGGTATATCCATACAGTCCATACACACAGCGTGAGATGGGTGAGCCAGAAACTATTAAGAAAATAGTTAAACTAGAAGAAAGCCAGAAACTATTAAGGAAAGCCTAGATTGTCTCAACCTCAACGTAAAGCCCTAACTGAAGGTTTAATGTTGTGGCCAAGGATCATTTAATTCATGTGGGTGTCCCTCCTGCCTCTGACAGAAAGGTGGAATGGAGCCTGAAGAGACTATGACTACTACCAGATCCAAAATGAAGGGATAGGGCTACCTGAATACTGAACCTGAAGTTAACCTGAAGCCTGACTTTCCTGAGGGGCATTTCTACAGAATAAACCTAATTGCAGGAGCTTATCAAGAGTTAAAAGAAGTGACAGGGCAGGGAGCACCCAGCAAAGTCTCAATGAACAGTCCAAGATTTTTGCTCCCTCCCTTTCATGACTGTGAAAAAAAGGGGTAAAAAATTTCTTCCTCACAGGGTTCTCTTTCGTACCAGCATTTCAAAAGATCAATTGCCAATAAATTAAGACAAAACAAAAAACAATGTATGTCCTGGTGGCAAGGGAAGATGCACTCCTTCTCTGTCCCTGTCACGTCAGAAGAGCAGCTCGAGCAGAGCCCTCTGGGCCGCACTGTGCCCTCACAGCAGCACCGGTGTGACGTAGTTGGCAGGGAAGAGCCCCAGCTCCCCACGCAGGCGTCCCTTCCACCAGGAGGGGTTGGAGCTGTCCAGAACCTCCAGGATGTCCCCAGTGCGGAAGCCCAGCTCGTCGTGCTCCAGAGCATCAAAGTTGTACAAGGCACGGACCCACAGCGTTCGCTGGAACGGAGAGGAGAGACAGGCAGGGAACAAGGAGCCAGGACTGGGAAAGATCGTCTTTGCCACCCCTCCTAAGACCCAGTAAATACATTCACTAAGCAAGGACAAGCAGAGCTGAATTTTAGACCAACTTGCAATTAAACCAGGAAGTGGCCAAGATGGCAGGAAGGAGGGACCAATTAACTGGGACACCCAAGGGATGGTGTTTGGTTTCTCAGCAGCCTCAGTGTATTTGTGGGAATTTGCACCATAAGGTGAAAAGTCAGACTGAGAGCAGGTCCTTAGGAAATTGTGTTCTCATGGCTCTGCTGCCTCTGCCCTGTAAGGGCAGCCAGGACAGCCACATCTGAAGCCAGTTATGGGAGCACAGAAGCACTCCTGCCTGAGACCTGCTGGGCTGTAACTAACAGGGAATGGCTCTAGGGAGCTGGCCTGTGCTGGTACAGATATGAAAATGTGTCCTCAGCCAGCTGAGGACTGCACAGAGGCAAGCACACAGGCAAGAGTAGAGAACACTGTAAAGAAGATTAAAGAAGGATATGTGTTCTTTCAGGCAATTTAGGGGCATAGGGAAGGGTCTCAAACCCTCTTCAGACTCTCCCGAAGGTCAGGTCCCTGGGATCCAAAGGATTTAGTGTCTGTTTGGGTATACCAGTTTATTTGGAGTGTGCACTGTCATGTGCACTATGGTTAGATTTTTTTCTAAAGGACTTTGCAGTCAATCTCCCACTTTGGCCAGAAATCATATTTTAAAGGAGATAGCTTGGGCTTCTTTCTGGGAAATTGTTGGCATCCACACCACAGGGCATGGATAATTTAGGAGGTATATCTGGCAGGGACAGAGGGAGAGATCTGTTAGAAGGCATACATATTTTGATAAATCTTCCATTCAGGGCCCTGCTTAGACCTTGCCCCTAGTTATTTGGTTGGACATATAGAACTTCCTATAATTAGATTTGTGGCTTCTACATCACTGATGGGATGTGGCAGGCAAAAGCATGTTGTTATTCATTGCCACAGCCTCTCTGAGAGATAAAAACCACTGTATTTTAAGCTGGATTACAATAAAGACTCGGGGCTTTTGCCAAGAAAAGAGGCATGCCCCTATTTTTTAACATGCTCCAAATAATCTAATCCAATCTGATCTTTTTCACTCATTCTTGAGAAAGGTCTGCTGTCCTTCCCTTCTCTCCTTGGATCTAGGTTCTCTGGTTATGGAGAGAGACATAACCAGACATTGAAGCTGGACTTTTCTTCGAGGAAGAGGAGCATCCTTAGGTCACACTGAGCTGATGGGGAAATATTTGTAGCTGGCAGTGGAGTCACAGGCTGAGGCAGAGATTGACACCACGTTCTGTGTAGGCATTCACACAGTGGGACTTGGCAGAGCAGGGAGTGACTGAAGCTCAAGTGCCAGGTTTGGATCCCATAGGAGAGTGGTCTGGGGTGTCTGCAGAGACACTACTGGATCACACCCACATCCACTGAGCTAAGAGGCTCTGACAGCCAAGGGTGTCAGGTAGGTGAGCACCGCTTTGATGGCAAAGGAGGTCTGAGAGATGTGCCAGGCAAGACAATAGAGCTGGGTGATGTCAGGCCTTCTCAGGACTGCAGCAAAAATTAATGTAAGAGACAGTGGGACTACAAGTGCATTGCAAGACAGGAGGAGCACTGTAGCATGGTACAGGATCATGAGGCTGCTCTCCATAGAACTTAAAAAATGTACTGCACATTTAGCTACTGGCATCAGTCACTGCCTGGCTGTGGTGGCAAAGACAATTGAAAGCCCCGTGCATTAACGGACATGAAGTTCTGCTAGAAGAGATCATTAGGCTTTCAGAAATGTCTTCTGCTGGACTGGTCTTGTGCTTGATCAAAATCCATGGGTGAGCTTGTGCTCATTCCAGTGTCCCAGATGGGGATTGTCCCTGTTTTGCTGAGCTCGTGCTAAGTTCCCTCTTCCACTGAGGCTGCATAAGAGAGCAGTTACCAGAACCATGCTCACATAACACTGTAGTCGAGGGACAGGTTCAAGTGGCTGGGATAAAGTCATGAGACTCAGAAATGTCTCGTAAGACATGGCCTGGCAGGCAAAATACACTACTTCTCATGCAACCTCCATGTAGGTGACATGGTGCAGACTGCTTGGCCCTTGCTAAGGGACCCAGTGACTTGGGCAGAGGAGGCCTCCCAGGTGCATCACCTACCGGTGCCTGCTGGTGCATAGGGTCCGTGTGTCTCCTCTGCATAGCTCCTGCACTTCCTTGGCCATGATCCCTTAGTCTGTGCATCATGTCACTCCTGTCCAGACTCCCACCATACCTTTCCTAGAAAGAAAATAGCAGCAGAAAAGTCATGTTGCTGTGGTTTTGGCTGGAATAGAGTTAATTTTCTTAGCAGTAGCTGGTATAATGCTGTGGTTTGGATTCAGTATGTGAATATTTCATACACTAATGTTTCAGTTGTGGCTAAGCAGTGGCTCACTCTAAATCGAGGACTTCTCAGTATCTTGCCAAAGATATAAACTGGGGGGAGTTGGCCAGAAGAGGCCAATAAACTGGTCAGGGACTGGCATCAGCCAGTGGGTGATGAACAATTGCATTGTGCATCACTTCTTTTTCTTGAGTTTTATTCCCCTCTCTCTTTTTGTTACTTCCTTTTAAATAAACAGAAAATGATAATAACAACTATTATTATTACTACTACTACTGCTACTATTTACTCTATTTCAATTATGAATTTGTTCTTATCTCAAGTCATGAGTTTTACCTTTCTCTTGATTCTTTCCCTACCTGCTGGAGGAGAAGTGAGTGAGTGGCTGCATGGTTCTTAGTTGCTAGCTGAGATTAAACCATGACACATACATATTCTGAGATGTATAAATGAGGGGATTTAAGAGTCATTAGTGGGCCAAGAGTCAGGACCAAGCCCGCACATCAATAATTTTAGATGTCTGCTTCCAATAAAGTCCCTGTGCTCCAGTTCTGCAAGTAATGACCCTCATGGAAGAGGTCAGCTTAGACTGCTCTATTTTGCTCTATTTTGGATTTTACTTTTTAGGAATTGAAAGCTGACTCTCAGCTGTGTCTCACAGCTGCTGGAACAAATGGTCAGAGAGGGGCTTTTTTCGTCTCTGAGACTTTTGGAGAAAAAACTAAGGTTGTTCTAACTCACAGATAAAAACCATGCTTGCCAAGGGGACTTCAGGCAATCTGGAGTTATTATGACCCAGTCCTGTCCACTCCTTGCTCTTCCTCTGTCCCATGTGCTGGGGGAACATCAGTTGTGCTGGTGCAGCTGACTGTATCTGAGGACTCACTACTTTACTTTTTCTTGGGCTGCTCCATAGTGTAAAGGACAGCAAGTAGGCCTATAAATCTAGTATCCAAAATAGCCAAAGAAGAATGAGACAAAATCAAATTCAAAGAAAAGTAGCCATATGACCACACATCTAAGTCATATCAACACAAATTGGCCGAGGCAGATGGAGAGAAGAAGTAGGAAACATCTAGGAAACAAGTTCTCTTTTGTGAGCACAGCTGAGAGATGCAGATTTTTGAGAAAATGACTGCTCACTCGCTACCAAACAATAAAAGCCAATGTTTCATATGCCTGGGCTTGATGTCCCAGCCCCTTGTTCCTGGCAGTACCTGTTGCTGCTGCAGTATGGGAACAGCATGCTCTACATATCTCTTGGATACAGAAGAATGATCTTCTCCAGCTGCTCCTCCCATGTGGAATCCTTCCCGACCTATCCGTTCCAGGCTCCCACCACGCCTCTCCTGAAGGAAGAAAGATCACAAAAGTGAGGTCAGGCTCTGCTTCCTACTACATCCTTGACTAAAGCTGTGCAATCATTGCACACTGAGCACTACCACTACTCTGGAGGCTCTTTCAAATAAAAGACTGCCTCTCTGAACAGAAGAACAAATCAGGAATCCTGTATTTTAGATCTTTGTAGCCACTCTCCATCTGAAATCAGTGTAGTACTGGGAGGTGCTGGGCTGAAAATATGGCTACTGATGTGATGACCAGCACAGGAGCCAAGCTCTTTTTTGAAATACTGCCCTTAGAATCCATTTGTCTCTGAACTGAAATTTATATATTACCATCATTTTATCATATGGCTGTACCATCTAAAAATTTGAATTGTGAACAGAAACCCCACTGTGATGGGTGCTAAACATACTCTGCTGTGCCCATCACCATAATAAATGTACAGAGAGTTTGCCAAAGCAAACTTGAGTTCTGTTCTTTCATTTCCCTGTCTGCATCTTGGAGCAAACGCATCTCTTTCCCTTCCTGCTCACAGTCAGCCCAAACAGGTTGTTATACTGATATACATGCATGCAGTCTTTCTTTCCTTCCCCAGACACAGAGATTCATTGCTGTGATCTCTCTCTTACAGATCCCAGAGCCTGTATTTTAATACCTTACTGGTGCATTTTTAAAGCTCTGTATTAGTGGTCTAGAAAGAGACAACAACCCAGGCCCTTTCTTCAGACTGAAAATGTATCATCTCTCATTTTGAGCCAGCAAGAATGACCCACACACAGCCTATAAAGCTTTACAGCTGTAGTCAGCAGGCCACATACTTTCTGCCTTGCCTCTACTTGCACATCCTGGTAATTTAATACCAGAATCCGTTTCCCAGTAAAGCAGGACTTTGGTTGCTGCAGTGACCAGGCATGTTCATTCCCAGCACAGGGAGTGCAAGGTGTAGCAGCCTCTGCTATGTCATTTGCTTGTTCCCCTGGCTCAAAACCAGGCATTCATTGGACTGGGATTTGTCTGCCTTCTCAAACATTGACTATACCTTCCCTGAAGGCACATCTTGTTCCCAGATCTCCTATGTTCTTCTCGGTAGTACTTTCCAGTTCCTAACAGCCAGGTTAACTGCTCCAGGTTCTGCCTTCTGTTCCCCCACATTTCTTTTACTTTGTTTGCTCAGTAGCAGGAGATGGACAATTCTTCTGAGCAGACAAACTTGCAGGTGTAATTGCACTCTGGGTGTGTGCAAGGACCCTAAGAAACCAGACTCAAATTCTTCTAAGTCACAACCCACCAGCCAGCTCTGTACCTGCCCTTAGGAAATCTAAGCATTTCAGTAAGGTAAATCCTGCTTCTCTTGGCATCTCAGAATTTCATTTCTGAGCTATTAGCACAGTTTTAGCAAAGCACCTTTATTCAGATTTGAAGCATCAAAAAATTCTGCTGAATTTTACAACTCTACATACCACTGAATCCCCTACGAATCTGTGTCTCAGGCCCCACCAGTGTAGTTATGTGGCTGGGTTTCCAGGGACACACTGTCCTCCTCCTCACCATGAGACATTCTCATGGGATGAATTCCTTCCACGGAAAGGTTTCTGACTGAGAAATTCCTAAGGACAGTTTGTGTTTACCTTTTCTTCTTGGCTGTTGTCCCTTAGGAAGATCTGCTTCTGCTTGGAGATGGAAGTTGTCTTGTAGTAGTCCACCAGCTTGTTTAGCGAGTGGAATTTCTCTGTCCACAAGTAATAGTTACCCTTGGAATCCCTCATCACTTTGAAGTGCTGCACATCATCTTCATGCCTAGATCCCAATGGAAAAGAGATCATCAACAGATTGCACTTTCACCTTTTTCTAAAAAGTCTTTTCCAGAAGGGTACCAAGACTTCTTGCTTGGCCAAATCTAAACTTCTGGAAAGTCATGCAGTGGCAGTCCTTGTGCCTACTGGACCCAGATGTGGCTGTGTTTCAAAAGGCTCATCAATCTGCAAACACACAGTGCCCCAGGGCTGCCCAGTCACAAAGCACTATCAAAACAAAGCACAGGGTTTTAAACCCTCTCTTTTGAAACAAAGGTCACAGGAGCTTCCAGGGTGAAAAAGTGCAGTTGTAGTCTACCCAACAGCCTCTGCAGGTCCTGTTAACATCCAGTCTGCATTGACTATAAGACCTGTATTACACCTTTACACACCATGGGGATCACCACTATATGCAGACAAAGTCATGTGAAGCCATATACTAAACTTTAAAGATAGTATAAAATCTCGGGTAACATCATTACTACAGGTCATTCTCCCTATCCAAAAAGGAAAAAAAAAAAAAGGAATTTTCTGATGCTGTTACAAGCCAAATTAACAATCTCAACCTTCTGCCCCTTATTCCCCCTGCACCTCTCCTCCCCTCACCTCTTGTCTGATGTGTACAATTCCTCTTTGCACCAGATGTGATCTGGTTTTGGTACCCACCTCCTTGCTCTGTGCAACTCCAGGCACTCAAAACACTCTTCTCAGAGGCTACATCTGCACAGATAGACTAAATGCGGACAGGCAGGGACTGAATGCTATCCTTGACTGCTACAGCCCCAAGCTGCTGAAGTGTTAGCATGGTTGTGGTTTAAATGGAAAAGCTCTCCCTTAGATAGTGCTGGGCCACGGTTAGAAAGAACAGGCCAGGAGCTGTTCACAGGGAGCTGCTTGAATACAGCTCTTCTGTTTGGTGGGGTGAAGAGGGTGTAGCCATACAGATCTGACCTCTGCCTCACTGCTTGACTTCAGGGCCAGAGAAAGAGCCTGACCGTACTTGATCTGCTGGTGTTAATTGGTGCAAATGTAACCAGAATGTTTTCCTGCATTCCTCCTGGATACTTTTTGAGCTGCCTGAATCAGCAGGTACATACCACTTGGAAAAGACTAATCATGACTTGTTAATCATGACTCTAATTTAAAACTGGTTATCAACTATTTGACTGAAAATTGGGAAACCAAACATCATTGAAAGGCTCTGTTTAGAAGCAAATGCACTGAGAAGTGCTAGGCTACTACAAGCCACTGAAATGTCGCTGGGCTGCAAGCAATGAAAAACCAGTCCTTGTCCAATGGCTGTTTAGTGACCTGTGGGAAAAAAGTTAACAATGTAATAGTAATCTCTTCATAGGTAGTAGCTGAATTCTTGGATTTGGTAACCAGAGCTGTAAGGGAATTAAAACAAATGGAAGACACATGTTAAGCACAGTGGGAGACTTTCCTTTTGCTGCAGCTCTTTCAGAGAAGGAGGTCACCAGGGGATGCAGCTTTGGAATGGGGCATTCACTGTGTCACTTGAAAAGAGGCAGAAACATTTGGGAATCAGATGCCTAATTTGTTCTCATTCACAACACAGCAGCACTACCAGTGACTGGCAGCCTGCAAACTTCTCAAGAGCCTACATCACATTAGGAATTCTTATGAGAGGAGGCTAGGGACACCATTAAACAGGAAAAGAAGCAGGAATATGCTGTTGAAAGCAGATACCTGACAGAGATGGAGAAGTCACCCTGAGAGTTCTGACTGGCTCGGACGATGAAGCAGCCGACTCCTTTGCTCATGAGGAGGTTCTCTGCTTCGTGGCGGGATATCTTCTCATCAAACCAGCTGTCAAGTGGGGAAATCATGGAGATGTGAATAAGGATAGGAATTAAGGTGAGGAATAAAAAAGTTGAGGGTAGGGAGTGAACAAGCAGGGTGGAGGGAGGAAAACAAAAGGATCAGAGGAGCCCACATGGCTACTCCCAGTGGCCACGTTTACGCTGAGGTACAGGGGTTTGATGGATGCAGACCATTTTCTTTGGGTAGTAAAAGCATGTCCATGCAAAGAGAACAATGTAAGCTTTGGTCTGCTAAGAAGCAACACTCAGCTGAAACTGTAATTACAGACACAGTACAATAAGGTGTTAGTCAAAGAAATTTTAAATGAAAAATGTGTATGTATACATATATACACACATAACTCTCAGACACATACATCAAATTGCTTTTTGGCAAACTGAAAATTACTGGGCTGTGATGGATATATTGCATGGAACGCACATAAATTTTTAGTAGAAGCAAGACATGAAAGTTTTACTAGTAATAATTTGGTTCCTGCAAGAGTTGCAATATCACAAAATCACAGAAACACAGAATACATAAGCACACTTACACAAATCTAGCCAGGCATACCAAACAACAGCATAAGGCACTGGACTAATAATGAGAAAGTCACCACAAATAGTAAAAGAATATGATGTCAGTAGGAATTTTTCTGTAGAGAAACACAAAATAATATACATTTGCATATGTCCACTCCATAGCTTATAAGATCTACAATCTGCAGTCTTTGACTTCACCTAATACATAATTGCCTGTATTGCATTAAAATGAAGAACAGTTAAGTTCCTAATGTCTGTCATTTTGGCTTTGGAGTTCCCTATTATCATCACAGTTCACCTATGTATCATTAGCAAAGAAAAATCAGATGAGCCTTGATAAACAATCTCAATGATTACTTAATCAGAAAAAAGATGGGCAAAAACAATCCATCAAAAATAGGAGGCAACTTTCTTCCCCACGTCTAGTTCTGTCATCTGGGCTGAACTGCTTCAAACTGCAGACCTGACACTTAGAAAAGTGTCAAAGTGGAAATATTTCTTCACAGCTCTTGCACAGAGAAAGCAACATGAGAAAAATGTGTGTGAAAAAAGAAGCTGCCAGTGCTCCTGAGTGATGGCACAGCCCTGTGAAAGAGTGAACAAGAACAACTGACTGGAAGATCTCATCCCCCTGAGGCCCAAAAGTACAAGCCCTTATCTGCACAGCAAACGAATAATGTCCTTCAGCTCAGCCAAGCAGGCTGGCTTATGTCCAAAAAGGCCACTAAGTGCCACCTCCAAAGGGGACAGAGGCACTTATTTGTAACCTCAAAATCCCTGTGTGTTCCCAGTCTGACTGCTCAGGGCAGCAGTGCGTTACAGCCACAAGCACTGGGCTTGGTGCATGCTCTGCTTGCTCACCCCTGAAATGCTGCAGCACTTGTGAAAAAAGAGGACAATGAGAGGTGCTTCTGGGAGCTTTTCTGCTAACTGAAAGGTTGTAAAAATCCCAGGCACTGTCATATTTATGGCATAGGGCTGGAGAGCACATTTAACATGCATTCCAACACACATCAGTCCTCTCTGAAAGTGCAGCTCCATCTCCTCAGCGGGAAGAGAGAAATGCAGGTAAGCCTGTCCCCTGACAGTTCTGTTTGTGTGTGTGAGAGAGAGCAGGGCGGCACGGCTGGTCTGTCAACTCTGCCGATCCAGAGTACCGCCAGCTGTCACAGCATTGCACTGACCTCTAGTGCACCGACAGAAACTCACAGGCAATTCGGGGGGCAGGAATGCGGCGGCAGGGTGGGAAAAGGGAGCCAGTGTCCTTAAGAGCCGAAGGGGAGGAAATTTTTTTATGATTCGTTTTCAGAAAGATCTCTTGCTCTTCCTTTTGTGCTTAGCCTCTGTCTCTGCTCCCAAGACTTCACATCATGACTATTCTCCCTCTCTCTGAGGACATCCAAAAGCAATACCTGCCACATCCCAGCGTCCCTCTGCACAGCAACAAAGGAGTCACTTGGGACTGACAGCGATCATCAGATCCATTTAGCTACAAAAGAGCAGAGGATGCTTTGGGGTAGAAATACTCTGTGCTAGCAGATCTGCGTGTAGCATTATGGCAATCCCTGCCAGCCCCAAAGTGCAGGATGTTTTGCCCAGCACTTCCCCTGTCCTGTCCCCTGTGCTCTCGGTGGAAATGTGCCATGGTGGTGACACCATTTCTGTCACACTTACGGGGGAACATGGAAATCAATGAAGTTCTTAGGAACGTAGCCCTCGTGACTTCTGAGCTCAGCCTTGTACCACTCTTCCTGGGAGCTCAAAATCTGCAATGGAGAAATGGATGGAATAAATGCATCTCCTGAGACAGGCAAAAGCAACCAAGATTCAGGAAGAAACCTAGAATGCCTTGTAAGAATAAAATAAAATTGTAATGTTCTCTGCTCGCCACCCATGGTGCAACAAGGTTAGCGGCTGATGACCACTTCAGAGCAAGCAAGCAATAAAAAACCCCAAGTAGAATTAGAGAGATGGCTTATTAACTTTACCCCTTTGTATGACTGCCTGTCTGTGTATCTCTGATGTCTGTGAAATGGAGAAAATTCAGCTTTGAAAGACTTCGTAGGGGTTTAATTTATTCTCTGTGCTGCCTTTTGTAGCTGGTACTGTAGCATCTCAGATTCACAAGGGAAGAAGAAAATATCTGTGAAAACTTCTCTGACATATGGGTATGGAGGGATATGCAGCTGTGTCTATGTGCGTTATGGCTGCACAGATGTTACCATGTGCTCTCACCTGTCATTTCACAAGAGATTCTTTAGTGGGTTAAGTCGTCAGCTGCCCTGAGCTTTGCCAAGGTAGATAAAGAAGGAGGCAAAAAGTGTTTTCAAGACACTATTACACTTAGGAGATTGTAAGATAGCTAGGATAGCTGGAAGTGAGTCCACATCACACACTGGAGCAGCTTCAAGCGCGCCCACATTAATGTTAACTGTAATGGTCCTTAGAAGCATCACTGCTGACCAGGGAGGGCCCAAATTCATGACAGCCTGGCTGATGGCCCAATATACAGCCCTAAGCTGGAGGAGAGAGGACAGGAATACAATCACAGTGGGATTTTACTGCAGATGTTGTGGTCTTTGGTGTTTGACATTCCAGCTCCTGGGACAGGATTCTGCTGTATGAAATAGACCATGTTCCTGCTCTTTCTGGTTTTGGAGAGGAGCCTAAAAGCATAAGCCATGACAGTTTTAAAAGGAAAAAGCCAGTGGAAATGACTTAATTTAAAATCTATTGTTAACAGTAATAATACTTACTTTGTGAGCCAGTCTCATGGTTTTGGGAGCCTAAGGCACATTTTAGCTACTTTGTATTGCCAACAGCATGTTACGGTCTCAGGAGCCAATTCTTCATTGCCTTCCCTGTCACGCAGGCAGGATTCAGAAAAGTTAAGGAATAGAAAGCTGTGGAATTCCCTACTTGTATAGTCACTGCTGTCCTCATGCCTGGCTACTGGGTTGAGGATCTTTTTTCACTGCTGTGGCCAAACACAGGGGATGATGGCTACTTCCTGCTCATGCCTGGGCCCTGCTCTGTTGGAAGTGAGGTTTCCAGAACGACCCACCAGCTGTTTGCCACTGCAGAGCTGGCAGGTTTCTTTCAGTGTGTCATCCTCTCAGAGAAGGATGTGGGGGGGGTAAGAGGGTGGATTTCCTCCTGTCACTACTGGTTGAGGGCCTCCTGTTTCCTGTTTTGTAATCTCTACATCAATATTTCACCTTATCTCCTTCATATATCGGCAGGTTGCTGCAGGCAGCACGAGGGGGCTCACGATAGGGCAGGAATGTGTGTGTGCCTATGCCAGAACAGAGTTGTTACTCAGGCTGATTTACTGCTACTACAACTTGGTGGCTAAGGTGGTGTTTTGTTTACCTCAAGGCCATTGAAGCAAGAAGGAGTTTGATTTTTCTGGTAGTGAATTCTCTATGACAACCAATAATAACAAAACAGGAGTGTAGGGTTGAAACTTTTTATCAGAGGATTCCAGCATACTTTGAAAGAAGTTCTGGCTTATACTGATTTTACAAGAAGGGAAACTGAGGAACAGAAGGAAAAGTGACCATCACCCCAGCAGGGACTTGATGGAAGTCTCCTGAGAAAAAAGGCATAAGTAAGGGTCATGTGATAGTAGGGACTGACTGGGGAAGAATAAGAGTGTTTATCTGTGCTGAAGAGATGCAGTGATTTCTCTAGAACCTTCTCACAGCTCTTTGGAAAGATTTGGTACTAATGAGTTCTGGATGCTATCAACTTTGTTAAAGTGCCAAGAGTTAAAAGGCCAATAAAATAACAAATGGTGGTGATGGAAAAGGCAAAGCTGAGACTCAGTATCTGATTATTAGCTGGAATATCTGTGACTGCACAGAGGAGTAGCAAAGGCTCCTTGCCAAACAGGGCTGCACATCCTATGGTAGTACATCATCCATTTGGACAGTAAAGGAGCTAAGGCCTTAGGGAGGAGTAATACTCAGGCATTTTCAATGGAAACAGAACATCTAGGGCTGAGAAGTGGATAAATAATTAGCGTGAAACTTCAAGTGGCTTCATCTGTGGGACTTTGGTAACGTTAACAAGAACTGTTCTATCATAACACATACAAATCAACTTTAAAGAGACTTCCAGAAGCTCTGTATTGTAGATGACCAACTCTACTTCTGCCATTGCTGCATTGTGAAATTCCTGCAAGGGTGTATATGATGTTATTAGACCAGGACCTCTTAAACTATTCCACTATGTGTGTAACAGTGTATCATGGAATTTTCCTCTTCTATTTGCAATTGCCTAAGATCCCTGCAGCATCTAACAATAATTACTAACAGTAAAAAGTTAGATATAAATTCTAGAATGGATGAGAGTTATATTTTAAACAGCTCAGTGGCTGGAAATAAGGAAGACAGCAATCCCTCTGGACAGAATTGATCCTGCCTGTGTTTAGACATAATCAGCATAATGTAGTCACTGTGAATGGTTTACCTGGTTAATGAAAACAGACAGGACCCTCAAAATCTGTCACCAAAGATCTTGATCTGTGCCCCAGCAAAGGTACATACCCTTCCCTGCTGACTACCAGAGGACTGCAGGGCAAGTAAATCCACAGTTCACGGACATAAAACCAAGAAAAGTGGACACAGACTCAAGTAACCTGGGAATTGTTGTCCTATTGCAAACCCTATGGGAGAGGAGTACCCTGCATTTGTATCCTAGTTTATAGATGTGCCTCCATCTGTTTGGTCAAGGCAAGGGGAAGCACAAGAAAGAACTGGAAGCAGTCTCAGAAAAGCTGTTTAGTCAAGCTGGGGACTGCACTTACCTTCAACATATCCCCAGCCTGGAAGCTCAACTCGTCCTCTCCAGAAGCAGTGAAATCAAACTTGGCAATGGCTTCCATACTGTGTCTTGGGGGCAGAGCAGAGCTGGAAGAGGTAATGTCAGATACTTGTCAGCACCTATGAGCTACTGGGATTGTGGAGCCCAGCCTCTGGAAAGCTGACAGGCAGTGCTGGGATCTGTATGTGGAGAAGCACTCACCACCTAAGGCAGCCATTAGTTACTAGACATGCAAAGACATTAGCAGGTAGAAGAGAGGGCATAGCTGAGCTGTAATTAGGTGAAGTCAGAAGTACAAATAACCAATAGTGGATGCTTATTCCAACAGATCTCTTTCGCTAGAACAAGCTCATGGAAAAACATGTATAGACCAACTCTGTCACAGCTCCCAATAAAGCAAGTGACTCTGTCCTGCAACAGAAAAATGCATTTGTCTCCTGCAATGACTTACTCTTTGCCTCAAGAGTGAGTCAAATTGCTGACAAAACCAACAGGGCTGCAATAAATACATATATTTTTTCTTGGACACAGGCCACAATATGGAAGGTTGAAAGAGTCTTTTCTTTGTGATGATTTAACATGGGTGACCACAACTTTCAGGTAGGAAAACACTGTTTGCAGAAAGGCTGCATTCCCTATTTTGAAGCTGGCAGAGAGTTAGCTGGCAGTGTTGGTAACTCAAGAGCCCAAAATATATCAGATAGCCTGCAAACCAAAGCCTGCTTTTCAGCACCAGAGCAGTGTGGCAGGGGAAGTGGCAAGATGGGCTTTGCTCCTTCACCACTTCCTGCTCATGCAACTCGGATGTACCCCAGCAGGACCATTTTTATGATCAAGAGTTACCAATTTCCCATGGCTGGGTCATGTACCCAGCCCAGTGGCGAGGCTGCCAGTGACAAGCCAAGAAACAGCCAGGCAGTGCCACCTTAAGCAACTGCACTGCTGGCAGGTGCACTTGCAGCACAGCTTCTGAAGACCATCAGACAGCTGTGATACAGAAATGATTTTTATGATTTTTAAGCTACGTTTGTCTGGGAATAAAGATCCTGAAGCCACAAGTTCCACTACATAATCTCAATTCTCACAAAAACACCCAGTCTTTATGGCTTGAGAGGAAGTGCCAGCTTGCCTGATCCAAAACATTCTGAACCAGAAAGCTCTAGAAAGATACTGTAGAAACAAATTAACAACCCTAATTAGGGTTAGGTATTTCTTATTGATTAGAACTGACACAAGATCCCCAAAAATAAAGTGTTGATACTGAGCAAGCTCCAGAATTTTGCCACTTCAAAATCAAAAGGCTGCTGTAACCTTCCTTCTCAGCAATACATGCTGTAATGTTCCTTCTGTGACACACAACCCAGGGATTTAATTATCTGTGTAACCAGGATCCAGGGCCCTCCTCTGATACAGCTCAACTTAAACTGCTGAGAATGAGCTGGAGAAAGCCTGCAGGGCAAAAGCTCTAGGACTGCATCAGCATCAGCCCAGGGATTCCAGAGGAAAACCACCAACATGGGAAGATATGAAATCTCAGAGGAAAAACAAAACCATAGTTTAGTTGTGGTAGTCAGTCTAGCTGAGTACCTGTCATGAATCATTTGGGTCACTGAGTTGAGCTGTCAGTGCCATCAGTCCTGACCTAGCTGGTGGCAGATGGCAACCATGGAGGGTGACTCTTCATTTCTGATTGATACCTGCAAAGAATCTTTGGCTGCCTTTACACAGGTGAGGAGTATGCTAACGTGTAGCCTAATATTTCATTGAACCCTATAACTAGGTTCTGTGTGTGTTAACTGTATACAGCAGTTATTTACTGACTAAATTGTCTATTTCCTGCTTGCAGAGTCCCTTTGCACTTGACTAAAGATCCCTGAATAAAGTGATTCACAAGAGGGGCCATAACATCACTGGATATTAGTTCTGATATTTGTTACAATCACTTCTAACTAAAAATAAAAACCCCGCTTGTATGCTTCCTAGTGGACTCTGTTAGCACTCTCTTTTTTGCTGCTTATAGGTGAATTTATATCCATGTGACTGACGAGAGCTATGAAGCACCAAGGCAAATTTTTTGGCAGTCCACAGAGAGCTCTGCTTACTCAGCATGGATCTGTTGCAGAGCAATTGGGGTTGCTTCAGTGCCAGGGCCTCCCGGGTAGGTCTGGGTACACAGCTCAGCTGAGATCTGCCCTGTGCCTGCTATTCCAACCTGCTGCCTTGGGCTTCCAACACACAGCAGCCCTGAACCCCGACACCCTAAGGCATACTGTGCTTTATTCTCAGGCTTCAGCTTTCCCCCTATTCCAAACACTTCCATCTCCTATTCTCCCTGTTGACCTACTAATGCTCTTTAATTCTTACTTCTGATACCTTTTGCAGATTAGGGTCACCCTCTGTCTTATTCTTATTCCAAGACATTGGTGTTACCCTGCAGGTGCAGCTCGGGCCTGATCTGAGAACTGTCCTCTATTCCTGCATAGATATTTTTGGAGCTTCAGCCTGTAACCCTCAACAGGCAGTGTCAGCCCCGTTGTGTGCTAACAGAGCAGAGGGCTATTAAACTGGAGGGGAATTAACCCTTAAGGGAATTGGTTAAACAATAATACTCTTTCATGGAAGACAAATGAAGAAAAAGACAAAAGGAAAATTACTTTAGTAAGGGTTGTTTTTTGGTGTTTTATCTTGCAGTGGTGGCTGCTGCAGAGAGATCAGAGCCAACAGTGCAGGTGGATCCTGGAACTCCTAAGTGCAGACCATTAATCCCAGCTTGAGGAAAAGAACACACTTAAAAACAATTTAAATGCAAACTATTTAAATACAAATCCTGTCTTTGATTATGTCCCTTAGATACAGAAGAAGTAGTGGGGGTTCCCTCTACAGCGGCAAGAGAGTAGGAAAACTTTAATTTTTTCAATAACCCAAATGTTAAAGGTGCCATTGGAATGTGGCCCCCTCTGAAGGAGAAGAGTTTGTGAAACAGTTAAAATCCTTCCTCTCACTTCCCTTCCAATTTCAGCAATCCCAGCCTCAGGGAGAGACCAGGAGAGAGATACCTCTTCAAACAATCTAACACATGGATTAAATATGCCTTTCATTGCCAGCGGCTGGATTTAGAAGTGGCTCAAACAGCATCCACAGTGTTGGCTGTGTAGATAAATCAGCAATGCAGTAATGCTCTGCCCTTAAGCTCTTCCCCCACCAGCTACTAAAGCAACACTAGCCAATAATCCTGTCTTTGAACTCCAGCCTACCACTTTTCAGCACCTGAACTTCAAACCAGTTCTGTTTTTCTGATCCTGTTCCTCCCTCCATGTGTAACTTGAGAATCCCCACTCCACATGGGGCAGTGCTGGGCCCTCATGAGAACTCCCCTGCCTGGAGCCCATTCTTTCCCTCTCTGCATGCCTGTGACTCCCAGCACCACCCCACAACACAGACAGACAGGAAATTTTTCACTGTTATCATAACTTCCCTTTCTCAAGCGCCTTTTATCCCAAATTCTGCTTTTAACTGTGCGGTGCAACTCCTTTACCCTTTTGATCGCCAAGGATGGTTTTAGACTGTGCATAATGTTCTCTGTGAAAATCACCTTTGTAGAGAGTTTAGCATGAAAGATATGCAATGTTCAAAGCGTGATTTTTCAGTTCCAGCCGTGAGCTGACCAGCGCCCTTCATTTTGTGCTGGCTTTCTGCATGCAGGTGAATTTTCTCTGTGGTTCACCTTTGTAACAGGGTGGATTCAAGAGGCATAAGGCTACAGCAGTTCTGTGGGGCTGGTGCAACAGAAGGTTCACAAAATGAAAAGTGAAAAGCAGCATGGCTTTCACAGCACAAGGTAGGCATTTTCGTTTGGCGGAGTGCCATTCCCTGAGCAAGAACATCAGTGTCTCTGTTGATGGGAAGTGCCAAGGCCTAAAACATGTCAGCAAGCAATACAGCCTGACAGCGGAGTCCCAGAGAGTTTAACACTGTTACCCTACACCATGTTGGTTCCAAATTCAGCAGTAACAATGCCAGGGAAGGTCACCACCTATGAAGAGTTCGTCACTTGGGGACTGCCCAGCCTCAGCCTTTCCCAATTTCACCTACTTACATCAGAAAGAGAGCAAAATTACAACAATGCACTCACTTAACGGAACCATATGCAAAAAGTTTCTATTTGTGTGTCTGTAGCATAAAAAACTGCACACATCTCCATTCTGAAGCTTCATCCAGTGAGGTTTTGCACCAAGATATAAACACGAGCTGCCGTGTCTTTGTTCGGCTCTGCAAGAGCAACCTGCTGGACTGATGAACAACCGGGGACAGGATTTAACCCTGAGCATCTGCACAGCAACTCCACGTGACATTTCAGCAGAAACAATGGAGAAGGGACCTGTAATCTAAAAGAGCTGTTGCTGATAACAGCTTTGTTTTCAACAGCTAAGCCACATACAAGTGGCATGGGAATATTTAGCTCCAAAAACACAAACCTCTTGCTACTGAGTTAATGGTGCAGCTTCACTGACTGTCAGTGATAAGAGAGTAAAATTTATAAGGGAGAACAAGTCACTAAAACACTCAGAAATGATGCATTTAAGTCTTGGCTATTCTGCCACACAGAACAATGCATAGCATTTTAACTGAGCCTATGTGCAAACAAAATAAGCCTCCTAGGAACCGGATTCACAGAACAAACAAACTTTCAGGACTCTATAACCAACAGCAGTTGGTAAGAAATGCCCCAAACAACGATGGGGCTTAATTTCCCTAGGGAACCCAGGTCTTCTGTGCTCATTCCCATCGCGTCAGAGTAGAGTTGTGCGGCAACATGGGAAGCTGCTGCAACAACAGGCTCAGAGGGAGGAGCACCTGATACAGTACCAGGTATGATATCACAGCATGAAACTGCGACAGTATAAAATCCCAAATCTTTGCTGTGCTGGAAGGGTTGGTGTGGGGGGACTGGGGTGGTGGGGAAACACCTCCTTCTGTTTGCCTACCTCCTCCCTCAGACCCCAGCTGGTCAGATGTGGGAGGGCAGAGGGATTTGTCCTGTACAAGAAAGCTGATAAACAAGATGGCCTTGGGATCCCCCGATCTG